ATCATACTCACCATTCTCCAAATGACATCGGTCCAATCCAAGCCTAAAATTTGTAGGTGAGAACTTTTCTTTAATCCATAATCAAATACCTCGACTCAAAAAAAGCTATAGAAAACAATTAGATATGCATAAGAGGAAAATGAAAATGCTTATGAGAAAATGATGTAACAAATCATCTCTACTTGTAGTCCTAGTGTTAGCTCATTTAGTGGATTGCAAATGATGTTAAGTTGTAGCGAGTTAGATTAGGAGGTGGTTTGTACCTCTTTCATAGCAACGAGGCATTTGATGAAGGACTGCAATCTTTTGGTTGCCATTCTCATTAGCACTGATATAATACATGTTGTCATCCCATTTACCAATTAATGTTGCAACATTTTTACCCAAAAGGTCTTCAACAAACCTATAGACCTAAGTTAATGTAAGACATGATAAACAATTTTTCACAAAAAATAACTTTTTTGAGATACAAAAGGTTGACTAATATGGACATGAAGCAATTAGGCTAGGATAAAATAATTGCATAGAAAATTCATTTTTTGAATTTTGAGAAAAATAACTGAATCGTTACTAGAAAGAAACTTAAGAAACAATTAGATTGACAACTAACTTGGTGAGGGTTCTGATTAAGAATAGGCTGCTCTTTGAATTTAAGTTTGCATGAATGTTGATAATTCATGCGAATGTGCATCAATCTACGATAATTGCAATACACTTTATCGAGGATAAGATTATAAATAGTACTTGTTCCCTACAGAGAATGAAGTTAAAAAAATTCATACCATACAAATAGAAATGGAAGCTAGAATATTGAAATTGAAGCATCATATCTAGTAAATATACAGCCTAATAATGCACACCTTGCCCCACTGAAATATTTCACCATAATCGAACTCTAGGGTCAGAACTTCAACAAGGTCAAGCTGAATTGACCACCCTCAAAACTTTGTGTAGAGGTTACTATTGTTATAAAATTTTCACCTTCACCTTCACAATGACAGGCAATAAGCGTAAAGTGGTGACTAAACTGTTTCAACTTGAAAGGTATGTCATATATGCTATGAAAATTCAATACAAATATTTGTACATTTACATTCAAATAAATAAAAACAACTACTTAGGAAGGTAAGTACTTCAAGGATCTACAGAACTAGTATAATTCAAATTTACTCTTTAAGTTCTAAAAAAACACTTTGTAATGTTCCTATTCATTGTTTTGAGAACCTCAAACCAATAATTGTTTGAACATGAAACATTTCTCTAACAATACAAGCTTTGGTAATGTTTGTAGTTGTCTACTTAAATAATAAATAGATTAGAATATCATAAAACTACATAACATAAACAAAATGGAAAAGCAAAAAATCCATGAATTCACATTCAAATAAAAAGCATAAGTTCCAAATGTACTTAAAGTAGCCTGATATATCACAATTAAAAGTAGTTGCTTAAAGTTCCAGACAAACATGAAAAAATGAATCTAAAATTTACTAAGCTAACTTGATTTACAAGGCACAAGTACCCAAGATTCTAGCACGCTCATATTTGGTTATGTACTTTGATGTCTTGCAAGTAGTTTTGTCTTTAACATTCTGTTCTTCATTTTCCTCAGTTTCAATAAGTTCTAAAAGAACATCATCATTGTTATTGTTTTCCAAATCCTCTTTGGCATTGTTTTGTCCACCATAAAGACAATTCATCAGACAGAAAATAACTTAATCAATTATAAAGGATCTCTTTAAGTAAACAATGTAAAAAAATAATAATAAATGGATCCTTACTTTAATATCAAGCTCTAGTAGCTTATCCTTATATCTATAGCAATAATTTCAATAAGCCAAAATTAAGTCCTTGAGTAACAAAAAGAAACACAATGCTCCAATTTTAATAGTAATGACAAAATCCTTTAAAAAAAATCAGTAAAGACGAAAAGCATAATAGAAATAAGAAAAACATTGTCCTCTGTTTAGCTGCTTAGAAAATTAGGGTTCATAAGAGAAAAATTGTCATACTCAATGAGAAAATTTTGAAAAGAAAAACTACATTGGTTTATCAAAATTCTTAAACAATTGAAAAAAAAAAAAAAAACCCATTTCTTGGATTTTCTTTGTTTATTCGAATTCCAAAAGAAAATGTAAAAATCAGACAAAATATATCATAGATAAAGTTTTAAATTTGTGACAAAATTATAACTTCACCTAAACATCGAAATATCATAAAAAATTTTCCACCATTTATATTTGACAATAAATTTTGGGGCAAGCTTTTGGTGATATTATCATGTGAAGATTTTATAGTTTGTTATATAAAATAATAAAACAATAGAAAAATGTGATGAATTATAGTATTCATCACTTTTGACATACTTTGCATGACAAAATATTATGCATTATTTAGAAAAATGACTACAAATTACCAAATTTGTTATAATATTAAAAGCATGGAATAACAATAAATTAAGATGAAATCAAATATAAGTTAATGCAAACGTCAAATAACTAATTGTATTAAACTTAAAACCTTATAATTAAATTAACTAACGTAAGAACTAAGAATAACAAGGCTTAAAAGTAAAGATAACATAATTTCAACCCTAAATTTAAAGCAAGAAATAAAAAAAAAGTGCATAAAGGTGAATTGAAATTGAAAGCAAAACAATAGTAACTAGTTTAGAGCAAATTAATTTCATGTCGTTAAAACCCTAAATTCAAACTTAAATCTAAAATTATAAAGTATGGAATTCAAAGCAAAACAAAAAGCCTTTTAAAAAAACTAAATATGAAATTAAAGATTGCAAATAAATTAGACACAGAAACTTGAAACTGAAATTTAAAAGCGATAAGAATAGAATTGAAATTGAATTTTAAATGAACTTGAATTTAAAGAACAAAAAGTACATAGAAAGAACTGAATTTAAAATAACTAAAATGAAAACTTACAATCAAGAATAAAAAATGAGAACAAGATTGGTCTGTCACCTAAACCGAAACTAATCTAAAAATAAAGAACTAAAAAACTAGAAAAGAAATCTTAAAACTAAGGATTGTTCTTAAGTCCATAAATTTCCTCCAACCTAAATGTAGCTATTTATAAGAAAAGACTACAAAGCAAACTCTAGATCAATCTTGGTTTTGGTTTTGGTCTCTTGAAGTGGTGTAATTTAATCTTGCTTGGTATCTTGAATAAGAAACTTTCTTTAAATGTATCATTAATAGATAGGTTGACTTTTTTCTATTAAATGCATGTAGATCGAATCTTGATTATATTAGGTGTTAACTTAGATAAATCTTGTTGACTTGTCTTTTCTTTATGTCATTTGGATAAATCTTGCTTACTTAGCACTTACAAAACAAGAGTGTTGTACAGCTAACCTTTTTTTGTAGAAAAGAGTCTTGTTCTATTTTAAACTCTCTCAAGCAGCTTTCAAAGTCTTAACTTAAGTTGCTTGAAAGTTTTAACTACTTAATTATTTTTCATGGTTTTTTAAACTTTAAATCTTTTAAAATTGAAGAATGGTATGCGGATAAAGTTCTTTATGATAAAAGAAAAACTGCTAAGTTATTTTGAATCCTAGGCAACCTTCTAGAATGAAATCTTCAACATATAGTAGATTCAGTGCTTTTTGAAAATTTCTTATAGTTTACCTTCAAGTTGGAGTCTTTTTTAAGAGAAATTTGAATTCTAAATTTAAATCCCTTAACATGTCACCCCTTTTTTAAAAGTCTCATGTAAGTCCTACTTAGAATAGGAATAGATTTAAATTTCAAAATTTAAAACTCTCTTATTCAAGCTTGGAATTCTCATTTAGAATAGGAATACTTCAATTCTAGTTTAATGCTCTCCAAACAAATATAAATTCCAATTCCATATCATCATGCTAACTTAGAATATGAATAGATTTAAATTTCAAATAGGAATAGATTTAAATTTCAAATTTTAAAAAACTCTTATTCAAGCTTGGAATTCTCACTTAGAATAAGAATACTCCAATTCTACTTCAAATAGGAATAGATTTAAATTTTAAAATTTAAAACTCTCTTATTCAAGCTTGGAATTCTCACTTAGAATAGCAATACTCCAATTCTAGTTTAATGCTCTCCAAACAAATATAAATTCCAATTCCATATCATCATGCTAACTTAGAATAGGAATAGATTTAAATTTCAAATTTTAAAAAACTCTTATTCAAGCTTGGAATTTTCACTTAGAATAAGAATACTCAAATTCTATTTCAAATATGAATATATTTAAAACTCGGCATTCAAATCATTTCTCTTGGCCAATGAGGTTATACTTGTTGCCAAGTCCTCTCACAATGATCCCATGCATGTGCACTTACATAAAACACTGTGAACTTGCACTCAATTCTTTAAAATTTAAATTTGCCCCTATATAGCCGAACTTGTATTTTCTTCATTTTAGCATGACTTTCATAAATTTTTTATCAAGATTCAACTATTCTTAAATCTTAAATAATTTCATCACTCCAACTCCAAAAATTTTCAAAAACTCCAAGAATCAGCATGAACATATCAAGAACCATCCAAGATTACTCTAAATATATTAAAAATCATACAAAATTGATTAAAAACTTCTAAGATTCGTCAAGATTCAATTTTTTTTTTTAAGATTTCTACAAAATGACAAATTAAGCATATTAAAAGTAAAAAACATCTTATTTTACCAAAAATTAAGAAAAATAACTCATTAAGCACTAAAAATAAATTTAAATAACTTTATTTTATAAAGTTATCATCTAGCATTAAGAATGATACGAAGGATACTATTAACGAACCGTTGGTCTACCAAAACATTAACTTCGTCAACAATAAAGGCAACAATGTTTGATCTTCTCCGGAACGATTTCTATCACTGCCATCAAAGTGGCCATTGTGGGTCACAAAAACTTTAGTCTCATTATCACCATTACTTTTAATCTTAAATCAATCTCACATGTCTATTCAAACGAATACGTAAACATGGTTGCAACAAACCGTTACCAATTTCTTTTGGGCCAACTACGTTACCATCCTTTAGCACAACAGCGTAACCATTAAGCAAAGAGAAAACAAAATTGGGCCTCTCGACAAAAGAAAACCAAGAAAACCCACGCTAGCAGCTCGTGTTTCAAACCTCCCGTGCAAAAGAAAAGAGAGAAAAAAAGGGGAGGGTTGTAGGGTTTTGCGGTAGAAACTAGAAAGTGGGCAGAAAGCAGAAAGATAGAGAGGTTTTGCAGTTTAGTTTGTTTTCAATAGTTAAGTTTTAACACAAAACAAATCATAAATCATGCACGCTCCAGTTCTCGTTCTAAGTAAGTTTCTTTTCTTTTCTTTTCTTTCAATGCATTCCAATCTTAAAATGGTTTACTAGATTCAAAATGTCCCTAAAAATCACTGAAATACGCAGAGGATTCGTTGAAACGGGAGTCTGGGACCAAAGTTCACCATGCTAATATCCAAGCCTCCAAGGTAATTTCCTCCCTTCCTTTTTTTTTTTTTCACTCTTTCTAGTTACTTTGTTTTAATCTGAAATCAAATTGCGGAATAATCTGCTTAAATATTAGAAAAAAATGTAAAACCAGTGTTTGTTTCTGAGTTCTGATTATGGACTATATATCTATCTAAGAAAGCAAAATTCAACATGCTTTGGGTCTTCAATATGATTTTCATTTTTCTTTGTCTGTTCAATGTTCACTGACCAAAATGACTTTACAGGCTGTTGCTGACATCATTCGAACAACATTGGGTCCTCGATCCATGTTGAAAATGCTCCTTGATGCTGCTGGAGGTAACCCATTTTAGGCCTTTAATGATGTTATTTAATGATGCTATTTATGCCACAAGGATACCCTATTTCCATTTCCAGTGCGGCTGTTTTTGTTTCCCACAAGCATTTTATTACCCTTTAAATGCACTCTTCTTGAACGAGCAATAAGGATCATTATATGGTTTTGGTTTCTACCAGGTATTGTTGTTACTAATGATGGGAATGCCATTCTACGTGAGTTAGATCTTGCACATCCAGCAGCAAAGGCATGATATTCCACCAAGCTTCTCTATTTCATTTGCTTCAGAATGTGAATGCTTTTTTTCCTCTTGTCTTTCTTATTTCCGTACTTCCTTATCTGTTTTGATTGTTCATGGCAGTCAATGATTGAATTGAGCCGTACTCAAGATGAAGAAGTTGGAGATGGAACTACATCTGTCATTGTTCTTGGTATATATTTATGCTGCGCAATGCTGTATATTTGTGCTATGTTAGATATTTTTGTATACGTTAGTTTATATTTCAATTTTATTCTTATCTATAACATGTTTTTGAGAACTCTTAAATTTTAATAAGCTCAGTGGATTTTTAATGAGATTAGCTTCACAGTTGGAATCTGACATTTTGAATGTGGTTATAATATAATTGAGATTGCTCTGGGTTCATGCAGTTGTCCCCTTTTTTTTTTTTGTGATGATGTAATTGATTTGTTAGGATACCATTGCTTTTAGTACTTATATTTGGTGTATTTTTTGGTTTAGCTGGTGAGATGCTTCATGTTGCAGAAGCCTTTATTGACAAAAATTATCATCCAACAGTAATTTGTCGAGGTAATGTAACTTAGAAGCGCTGCTAGATTCTTAACCTCTGCTTTTGAATCATCACTTAGCATTTGATGAAGAGCCATTTCGTTTGCAGCATACAATAAGGCTTTGGAGGATGCTATTGCTGCGCTTGACAAGATTGCAATGCCCATTGATGTGAAAGACCGTATGTTTCTCTTGGAAACTTTTTTATAACAAATTTTTAATCTTTTATCCGGTTATCTAGTTGGCATTTGTATCATTAATATCTTTGGCATGCTCACATTGTAACATATGTATTTGAATGGAAGGTTCAACTATGTTGGGACTTGTGAGGAGCTGTATAGGAACAAAGTTCACTAGCCAATTTGGGGATCTGATTGCTGTGAGTGTCTACTTTGTTACGGAGTTCATTTTTATGCTCATTTTGATTATAGAATTATTTGCATATACCATCGAATTGGCAAAGGAACAAACTTCAACATTTGAAACCATAAATATAGCAACCATAGTTGCATGGATTTGGGTATGAGTATCTGATGCGGTTGACCTTTTTTGTTTAATTTTTGGTTTTTTTTTTTTTTTTACATGACCCAGCAATCTCCCATTGTTGTCTCTGTTGTTCACTTTCTTCATTTTGGTGTTTGGTTTGGCTCACATGAAAGACCGAGTTTGTATAACTAGTGCCAATATCACACACATTCTGTACCCGAATTCTCTCGTGTTGACATGGGTATGGTGCCCTAGAAGCCGAGTTTAACATAGATAAAACTTCTTTAATTAAGCTGTTTTTAGATATAATAATAATAATAATAATAATAATAATAATTAAAAAAAAATCTTCATAACTTTTTTTTTTTATTCTAGCTGAAAATATGTATGTGCCTAGATTTTGATTGAACTGGCAAAAAAAACCAAAAATAAAGGCTTCTTTAAATTTCTGTATATAAAGTAAGAAGAATCAGATTTGTAAAGGATTTAAGGCTGAAAAATGAAGTTCTAAGACTTGTATCAGTATTTTTCTGGTTAATTTTTATGGCTACTTAATTTTAACTTCCAGGATTTGGCAATTGATGCAACTCAAACAGTCGGAGTTGACCTTGGCCAAGGCCTGCGAGAAGTTGATATTAAAAAATACATTAAAGTAGAGAAAGTACCCGGTGGCCAGTTGGAGGATTCTAAGGTCCTCAAGGGAGTGATGATCAATAAAGATGTAGTTGTGCCTGGCAAAATGAAAAGAAAGATTGTCAACCCACGTATTATTCTTCTTGATTGTCCCCTCGAGTATAAGAAAGGGGAGAACCAAACAAATGCTGAGTTGGTTAGGGAAGAAGATTGGGAAGTCCTATTGAAAATGGAAGAAGAATACATTGAGAACCTTTGCATGCAGATTCTGAAATTCAAGCCAGACTTGGTGATTACAGAAAAAGGACTTAGCGATTTGGCATGCCATTATCTTAGTAAGGCTGGTGTCAGTGCAATTAGGAGGGTGAGAAAGACAGACAACAATAGAATAGCAAAGGCATCTGGAGCTGTTATTGTGAATCGTCCTGATGAATTGCAGGAATCTGATGTTGGTACTGGAGCTGGGCTACTTGAGGTTAAAAAAATTGGGGATGAGTTCTTTGCGTTCATTGTTGATTGCAAAGATCCAAAAGCTTGTACAGTTCTCCTAAGGGGTGCTAGCAAGGATCTCCTGAATGAGGTAGAAAGAAATTTGCAGGTAAATGGAATTAAGTTCTGATGTTTCCTTTTTCTTTTTTTCTTTTGGTTGAAGTTCTGAAGCTTGTTTCAATTACAGGATGCCATGTCTGTTGCAAGAAACATAATCAAGAATCCGAAACTTGTTCCCGGTGGTGGTGCTACAGAATTAACTGTTTCTGCCACTTTGAAGCAGAAGAGTTCATCTGTTGAAGGCATAGAAAAGGTGCTTGATTGTTTCATCCAGATCAGTCTAGAGTATTATGATTCTGAATGCTAACCTTTCTTGATATTTGAATATACTAACCAATGTTTTTAGAGATTTAACTTTGGTAATTTCCTATTTTTTAGTTGTTAGTTTGTTTATATTCTTTGGTTGTATAACAGTGGCCGTATGAAGCTGCTGCCATTGCTTTTGAAGCCATACCACGTACTTTGGCACAGAATTGCGGGGTTAATGTGATTCGAACCATGACTGCTCTGCAAGGAAAGGTATGAATGTTTCTAGATTGCAGTTATACGCTTTTGTAGATATCCTTACCCTTTCAGTTTCTATTTTCTCAAATTGTGATTGTAGCATGCAAATGGTGAAAATGCATGGATTGGCATAGATGGGAATACTGGTGCCATTGCTGACATGAAAGAGCGAAAGGTATGATGAAATTTGTACTTTTTCTTTAAGACTCTATCTGTTGTTCCTAAAAATTTCACCATAATTTCACTTTTCCACCTGAACTTTTCATTGCTCCAATTTCCGCCCTAAACCCTGATTATGTGTAACAATTATGTCCCACCTTTCAAGATGTTAATAAGATGGATCAGATTGTCCACTTCAGAGCCATGTAAGACATCTATGACCCCTTTGACAACAAAATGGTGATTTTTTTATTAAAAACAAATTGTTAAGAAAACCACTCGTTTTGGTCTGTCATTGTAAATTTTGATCTATTTGTCCTAAAAATTCCATGTCTGCAAAATCTGTCTCAATTCCTGGCAAGACCTTGAGGCAGGTGACAAGAACTAGATTTAGTGAGGGATTTAAGGCTGAAAGATGAGTTGGGAGAGTGTGATGGTGTCAGAATTGAGCTGTAAGTTGTGCATGGTTTATGGTTAGTATATGAATATGGGATTGTAAGGGAGAAGGGAGATTAAAAAAGAGGTGATTCTGTTGCTAAGTTTGAGAAAGCAAATGGATGGTGATGCATTCTGGTTTGGGTTTCAAGAGAAAGTTTTATATCTGCAACTCCTATGGTTATGATTTTGTACGTAAAGGAAGTTTGGATGCCTGTGAGGCAAAAGAGTGTTGACAAGGATTTTTCTTTTCTAATATATGAAAAGAGAGGAGAGAGTGTGAAAAATAATGAGAAAAGGAAACACTGTTTTAGATTTTAATGGTATCTGCATGTCATTGTATTTGGCACTGATCTACAAATTCACTTCATTAACATCCCTTGGATGGCATGTTATAAATATCACTACACTTTTAATCAACGTTCTAGATGAAAACTGTATAGATTAACAACTTAGGTGTGAGGTGTGGAAGCGAAACTCTGGTGAAAGTTTGAGGATCATAAATGTAATTCCTTCTCTTTTATTTTTACTTGGAGAAAAAGATAGATAATTTGATCTTTGCAATTTCTTGATAATAATTCATTCTGATGTCCCTGAAGCATGTTGGTGAAAGGTGATGGAATCACCTGTTTAATTTGGATATCTGATGCATCTCTACGTGCCTTTCTGTTGACTTATATGGGTATAAAGTTCAGATGTAAAAAAAAAAAAAAAATCTAATTGCTTCTCTATTATTTGTGATTTTGGCTTAATGATTAATCGAAGTGTGCAGAAAGTAGTTACTTCGATTTGATAAATCATTTGTTAAAAATATGTCAGATCTGGGATGCATACAATGTGAAGGAGCAAACTTTTAAGACAGCCATAGAAGCCGCTTGCATGCTTCTAAGAATTGATGACATAGTAAGTGGGATTAAGAAGAAGCAGGCTCCTGGAGCTAGCCAAGCTTCATCAAAACCCAAGGTTGAGACAGAAGCGGATGCAGATGGTGAGCAAATTCTTCCTGACTGAAGATAGTGGACCAGTTGAACTGACCTGACATTGAAAGTATTTGCTACAAATGATGGTTTGTTTTGGTCGGCTATTTGGGGATTTTTTTGAGCATTTCATTTGCTTTTGTATTCTTAAGAACTTCAATCTGTGTTTGGTGTTGTTTTGAAACTGTAGATTGTTGTTGGATTAAATTTTAAACTGTTATCAGGTTAAGCGTTATTAGCTTATTGTTTCATTTGGTAGATAGAGTAACTTTTATTTTATTGGAATCTCTTTATTAAGAAGGATAGTTCTTTTTGTATTTTTTTTTTCAAGTTTATTAATGAGATTGAATTAATAAAATCTCTTATTCGGCTATCATTTTGCTGAACATCAGACATTTACTTATTTGACAAATTATAAAATATTTAAAAAAAAAAAGAAAAGAAAGAAACAACTCTTCACCACTCGCCTTTAAAATTAACAATCTTTTCCTTATTAGATTCATCAACCCAATTTTGATTTTGCTTGAATTTCACTCTAAATTATTAATGTTTAAAATAAAAAATTATTTTGTAGCAAATCTCGTACAAAATTTTTAGTGTATCATCTGTGTATAAAAAAAATAAATTGCAAGCGGTAAAAGTGTTTAATTTAAATTCCCTCATAAAATTTTAAATTAATAAAATTTTCTTAAATATATATCTTATGTTAATTTATTTTTAAGTTTAATTTAAATTAACTAAAATTAAAAGAGTACAAAAAATTAAACTGCTTAAATTTTTTTTTTAAATGTTAAAAGATAATGACCTGAATAGTCCCTCTAAATTTATAATGATTTACCCTTATAAATTTTTTAATGTTAAAAGTGACTAATCCAAATACCCCCAAGTTATTGCTAATTTACTGATCTAAATATTCCTAGGTTATTGCCATTTTACCTCTAAGTTACTAACAAGAATAAAGCCAAAACTTTTATCTTTGATAACCAATCATAAACCTATTCAATAAAAAATTATAAATTTAAATGAAATAACAATTTTATTATATTAAAAGAAAATTCCCATATATTGTCTGTAGATTTTTTAAGCTTCATATTTCATAGTTATAAAAACTTAATAACATAGAAGTAAATTAAGGATAATTTAATGACAAATAAGTAATAATTTAGTAGTTAATATTAACAATTTAGTAATAAATTAATAATAACTTAATAATAAAATTATAATAACTTAATAATAATCATTTTCATTTTAAAAGTAATTAATTGATAAATTTGGTAATATATCATAAATAACTTAGTAATAAATAGATAATTGATAATTTAGTAGTTAATAATTAGAAACTTAAAAGCAAATTAGTATATTTTAGAAGTAAATTATTGATAATTAATTAATAGCTAATCAACAATAATGTAATAATAAATTATGGATAACTTAATATAAATAAGTGTAACTTGATAGTGAATAATGAATAATTTAATAATAAATCGATGATAATTTTATAATAAATAACAAAAAATTAAGTAATACATCAATAATATCATAGTAGTAAATGTATGATAATAAAATAGTAAATTATTGCTAATTTAGTAATAAATTATTGATAAATTAATAAGAAATCACTGATAATGTAATAGTAAATTATTAATAATTTTGTTGTAAATTATCAATAATTAAGTTGTAAATAAGTGATCATTTAATAATAAATTAATTAATTCTTGATAATTTTATAGTAAATCATTAATAAATTAATAATAAATCAATTATAATTTTATAATAAATAATCTATTTAAGTAATAAATCATTCATAATTTAACGATAAATTATTTATAAGTTAGTATGAAATTAATTGCAATTTAATAGTAACTTAATAGAATCATTTTAAAGAAGATTTGATCATAACTTTGATCTTAAATTTTCAACTTAATTTTTTAAAAATAATATTTAATTTTTTTGTTTTGATAAAACTATATTGTTATTAAAAAAATTTGCAATTTATTAAAATTTATGTAATTAGTAATTTTATCATTCATTTAAAAGTATTAATACTCTTTTAAAATTTAATATTGTCATAATAATATTTTTATTTTATAATTTTATGATACAATATATTTTATTAAAAGAATAAAATATTAATTTAAAAAAAATAATATTTAATTTTTTGTTTCGATAAAAGTATATTTTGTTAAAAAAATTTGCAATTTATTAGAAATTATGTAATTAGTAATTTTGTCATTCATGTAAAACTATTAATACTCTCTTAAAATTTAATATTTTCATAACAATATTTTTATTTTATAATTTTATGATATAATAAATTTTATTAAAAATAAATAAAATATTAATTGATTCATTCAAAATTAAGTATCAAAATTCATCATTTATGTTGACTCTGTTTGACTTGTTGAGAAGAGCGAGTAGCATGATGACTCGGCGATCAGGGTCTAACAGGTACAATGCACACTGAAAGGAACATGCCGTCTTGGCTGGCAACGCTACAAGCCAAAATTCATAGTCTTTTCAAATTGATGAATGTACCACCATCCAAACGGCATAAATGAAAAAGTTATAATAAATCCTTAGTAATAACTCCAAAATTGTCTGCTTCACTTTTGATAATTTTTTTTTTTTTTTACCTTTTTGTTGGATTTTGCAATTCTGCCTCTTCAAATTCACCATTAATTACTTTTTTTGTTTGCTTAGATAAGGATTTTCCCATTTCCCATGTGAATATAATAATAAGTAATACATAAAAAGTTGATTAAGTTTTGGCACTCATGTTTCTTTCCATAATTTTTTTTCTTTTTTTTTTTGATAAGTAATAAATTTCATATATATATATATATATATATATATATATATATATATAAGAATCACCTCCCTAATCAACCAAATATCCATACCATACATAAACTAGCAATGGCAAGTACAAATTGAATCTGAAAATGGTTCAAAACATCATCCTTTTTTGATCCTGTCAAAGCACATCAGAGTACATGTGAAAGTTTTGTCAGATAGTCTTTTTTGTGTCAGGTAACTCTCTTCTTATTCTGCTGTACTTTTGGCAGATCTTACTCTCTTTTTGTCTGCAATCTACAAACTCAAGCAACAATTAAGTTAAACGCTGCTCTCTTTATCAGTATTCACTGAAGAAATCTGCTTTTCTTTTCTCTATTATGTCAGATTTCAGAATAAGGGTTGTGTTGCTTTGCTTTGCTGATTTTGGTTTTCTACTTGTTGCATTGAAACTGAAGCATTGTCAATCATTGGAGTGCAGGTTGATGAACAAATAACATAAAAGGACAAAGTTGTTATTGTTTTGTAAAATAATGGATGAAGAAAATAATGTGGATGTTAATATTGAAAGCGATATTGAGAAGGAATATCAGAGGATATACAGTCAACCACTTTTGATTAAGAGGCACAACACTACATCCCAGATCGCTATTGTGGGTGCCAATGTTTGCTCCGTCGAGAGCCTTGATTATGAGTAAGCACTAACCACCGCCACCCTTCTATTTCTGAACTCCTCATTCATTTCCTTTTTGTTTTTCTCTTAATCCCATTATTTAATTTCACTTTTTATTATTTTGTTGGCTAATTATACCCAAACTGAGTTTCTTTATTGGCATTTCTCACAGGAATCAAAGATCAACTATATATCATGCTGCCTTTGCAATTTTTTTCAATTTTAACTTTTTTTTACCTGCAGTTCTGCATATGTAATTAGACATCTTCAACATGCTCTTATCTTATTTTGTTTGTGTTGGTTTTCTTAGTTACTTTTCCACAATAACACTGCTGTTTTAAAATATTCAATTTCAGCTATAATGGAAAATCCTATAGTTACTGTTTTTGCAACTGGAAGCACAAAGCAAAATTTGCATATATAACAAGACATTATATATTTTGTAAATTTCAAATTTTAATTGTAATATTTTTGGAGAAAAATGCATAATTTTACTTTGATAGGGAGTAATTATGTTAGAATTGTTGCTTAGCAATTTGTTGTAGCTACCAACCGTTGTATCATTTTTTTGTGTATAACAGGATTGCAGAAAATGAATTATTCAAGCAGGATTGGCGGTCAAGGAGGAAGATCCAAATATTTCAGTATGTTCTGCTTAAGTGGGCATTTGCACTTATTATAGGGCTAGGCACTGGACTAGTTGGCATTTTTAACAATATAGCAGTTAAGAATATTGCTGGTTTCAAGCTGCTGCTGACCACAGAACTCATGCTGGAGCACAAGTAAAGCCAGCTCTTCAACTGCCATCAACATTTAAATTTCCCAAATTTATATGCCTGAACTCCCTTCATAAATGTGCATTGATGATGTTATCCTGTAATTATATTATGCTTATGTCTTTGGTTGGGTATTCATTTGCAGCCCTGAGTGCTTTCTACTTGGACAATTACCATTTTACTTTTTCTTTGGTCAGGCAGATTCATTTCTGCAAATGATCAAAATGATCCGAAACAACAGTAGATTTTCTACTTTTGCAGTTTTTGTTCTCCTTCCTTACCTCTGCCTTGTTTGTTGTGAGTGCAGATACATATGCAAAAATGAAATCATAATGTTTTTAAATATAAGAGACATTTTACACTATGGTTGAAAACTTGTTATTGTTTGACCACTGAAACTGCTGTACTTATTGGCTGTTGCCACTGCCTCTTCCTTAGGTGTCAAAGCAAAACACTTCCTAATGCTGAGAACCTGAGATATTTTCTGTGTTTATATCCTATAATTATTCTAAGTGGTAAACATGGTCTGATGGTCTTGAAACATCTAATTAGATGACTATCAAGTGTCAACAGTGATTGTCTTTTCCTTTTTCTAATAGTTAAACCAGTGTATTAGTGTAGTTAGCTATTGGTGGACTAAGGTTCAAGGGATCAATTCAGTTTTGTCATATATTGATCCCAAATCTTGAAAATCTTTAGGTCTCTTCTCAGTGGAAGGATAATTGGAACTTCATCTTTAGTAAGAAATAAAAAGAGGACAAACAGGAAAAAGCAAAAAACAGTTCTTTGAATGTTGTGTTATACCCGGCATGACAGCGCTAAGAACAATTAATGATTTAGACTTCATTAATACTTTAAATTCAAGTGAATAAACTTAATTAAGGCATGAATGTTATATGCATTGTTTAATATATCAGATATCGGACAATCTAGCTAATAATGCTGCATTATCAAAGTGTTTTAATTTTCAGATAATTAAACTTGGTGGGCATGAGGAATGGTTGGTCATTAGCTGAGATTGGTGGCTAGAAAGGTGAAACTTTATAGTAAGATGTGGTTGTAAAATTTGTTTTCTAGAAAAAGGTGAAATTGAGAAAAGTTATTACAAAGAGGTTTCATAATTCATTGATAGTTCATATTGAAGTGGTTAACAGAAGTTGGGTCCTTAACCTTTTGCAAACAAACTATACAACC